CCACTGGTGCAGTACCACGCCTACTCAAGTGGTCCCGAGTTGTACAAGAAGCAAGCTGAACAAGCCACAAGGAACAAGCCAGTAGACATTGCTCCTTCATGATCTCTGCTTCAGTTCCTCCTCCAGGTTCCTGTCTTGGTTTCCTTCCCTCCAATTAAAACTCTTTTTTATAAATAGCCCAAGTGCCAGGTCAGCCAGTGAAGCTGTAAGCCTTACTTCATTCCTATAGGTACGTTGTGTCTCTCCTGACAACATATTGAAGTCCCAACTCTGAGTGCCTATAGTTGGAGCCAGGTTTGGAAATAAGTCTCTGAAGATGAAATGAGTTGAAGCCATACTGGATTGTGGTGAGCTCTGAGTCAAGTAGGACTTGTGTCCTTACAAAGCAGGACAGCAAGTACAGAGGCACAGATGTAGAGAAAGCCATGTGATGGTAGAAGAAGATCATGATGATGTATCTACAAGCCCAAGAATGCTAAAAAGAAAATTACCAGCAAGACATGAGACTCAAGGGGAAAAAAAGAAGATAGAAGACTCTCCCCAGAACCTTCAGGCAAAGCACAGCCCCTAACACATCTTGACTGATATCTAGACTCAAGAATCATGAGAGAATAGACGTCAGATGTCTTACAGCCTCGCCTCATGCGTGAAGTAATTTATCATGATAAATGTAGGAAGTCCCTGCACATTATGAGTGAGCCTCATTCCGAACAACAGAGCACTCACTTGTGGTGGCTGTTTTCCTGGGATGCTCTTGCAATTGGTATTTTGGGAGACCCTAATACAATTGCAAGTTCAGAACATTATAATGCGCAAATTTCTACACCACCCCCCCAGATTTCCAGCTGCCTGCTCTAAAATAGCTCCCCAGTCCCAGGATTGCCCTTTAACTGATTTATTTTCTTCGTGACACTAACTTTCATCAATTCTGTTTTGTTTGGATTTTGTTTTGTTTTGTTTCTTTCCTTATTGCTGACTCAACAGAACATGAGAGTGGGGACCATTCTGAGATCCCACCAGTGCCTGAGAACAGGTCTTCTTGCAAGGAACACATTCCAAAGTAATCCAATGAGGGATGAATGCTCAACAAATAGCTACTAACTACACAGATGGAAGCCACAAGCCCTGTCACTGCTGGACTCACCAAAAAGATCACCATTCCTAGCATTCTTCTTAATGGAAACTGGGGATTGCATACACCAGTGAAGAAAAACAACTTTATGTCAATGTCTACAAGATAAAGTTTGCTTCTGGACAAATCCTCTGCTAAGGACTGCTTTTCTATCCTAGAATGGGTGTGTGAAAAACTGGCTGGTACCCAGCTTCCCACACGGAATTCCTGGAATCCCCAGCTGGGGAGAGGTTGAGTTTTCATCAGCGCAACTACACCATATTGTCCACTAGGAGGAACCCTAACAAAGGCAGAGGCTGAGAAGCATTTAGCCTGAGTCTACTTGAGGTGACAATTATGAATATATGGCAATTATGACGGTCATTCTTCTCACACGCACACACACACACACACACACACACACAAAGAATCTCTGAAGAGCACCCTAATTAGTGAGTACAGAAGTTCCTACACCACAAAATACACTCACAAATACAGCCATTTGAAGGAGCTCAAAGAATAAAGAAAAGCCAAAACATGGCAGTAAAACATTGGTGGAAGCAAGGCTACAGAGGGTGGGAACAATCAGCTCCACCTAGGGGGCTTCACGGCAATCCTGTGGTCCAGCTAGGACATTGTATGCCCTTTGTTTGTTTCAAATAAAGGGGGATCTACAGATAGATAGTTTGTCGATCTCAGCTCATCCACAGGTGTGGGAAGAGCCAGGTGACTACCACCAGACTTGCCAGAGAACTGGGGGCTTGAAAGTATGAGATAAACTACAATTTTACAGCCAGCATACACTTTTTCCTGCCACAATAATGGAGATATGTTAGTTTTCCTGTGGTGATGGTTTGAATAAAAATAACCCCATAGGCTCATGTATTTGAATGCTTGGACACCAGAGCATGGCACTGTTTGAGAAGGAAGAGAAAGTGTGGGCTTGTTGGAGAAAGTGTGTCATTTGGAGGTTTCCAAATCCCAGGCCAAGCCCAGTGGCTCTCTTTTCCTGCTGGCTGCAGATTTGGATATAGAACTCTCAGCTCCTTCTCCAGCACCATGTCTGCCTGCATGCCATCATATTTACCACCATGATGATAATAAGCTAAAGCTCTGAAATGGTAAGCCAGTCCCAATTTAATGCTTTCTTTATAGTAGTTGCTGTGCTTATAACACCTCTTCACAGCAATAGAATATTGACTAAGATACTTGCCTTAGAGTAAGGTGTGGTCATGTGACTAAACTGGCCAATGGGAAGTAAGTGGGAAGATACCTGTTTACTCTCCCTTCACTGACTAGTGACATCCAGAGTTTCAGGTGCCATTTTGACTTTGGGACTGAAACTACCATGGAAAGAGATAATCCCTGGGGTGGGGTGGGGTATAATGAAGTCACAGTGCCAGTTCTGGACTCTCTACTTTAGATTTAATGTGAGGAAAATAAAATTCTGTCTCCTTTAGGCCACTTTTTATTTGGAGTTTTCAGTTATGGCCTTTGGATTTGACCTTAATTATCTCCAAGATGACTCAAAGTCTCAAGATGATTTGTATTCTTGGATGGATCTGAATTCTCAGGTCATCTCTGGTGGTCTACAGATTCAGAGATTATTGCTCAACTTTAAAAGCAGCTGAAGGCCAATTTTTCTTGTGCCTCTTTGGGCCTCCTAAAACAGACAGGGGCCTCATGCTGCCAGTGTCTTTTTGCTGTCTATCTCCTAAGAATTGAACCACTGTTCAAGTCCAACGTTTATAAACAGGCTAGGGTGTCCAACTACCTATTTTGTCCTCTCGGGTAGAATAGGTGGTCCAGTGGTTCTTACAGTGATATCTCCAAACTGTGGCGGCAGCAGCAGCAGCAGCAGCAACAAACTGTTGAACCCAAGCTCAGCCATTGCAATGGTTTGAATAGGTATGCCCCCCCCATAGACTCATGTGTATGAATGCTTAGACATAGAAAGTGACACTGTTAGGAGGTGTGGCCTTGTTGGAGGAAGTATGTCACTGTGGATGTGGGCTCTGAGGTCTTATATGCTCAAGCTACACCCAGTGTGGCACACAGTCTCCTTCTGCTGCCTGTGGATCAAGATGTAGAACTCTCAGCTCCTTCCCCTGCACCTGGTTTGTCTACTTGCAGCCATGTTTTCTACCATAATAATAATGGATTAATCTCTGAAACTGTAACCCTGCCTCAATTAAATGTTTCCCTTTATAAGAGTTGCCATCATCACGGTGTCTCTACACAGCAATAAAACTAAGACAGCCATGCTGCATCAGAAACTGGGGTCGGGGCGGGGGGAGGCAGCAACATATGATGGTTTTGGTTCAGCCAAAGCTTGAGAATCATGGATGCCTGAAAGGACTTTTACTTGTGGTTACCAAATAATAACCAGGAGTTACCTAGAAAACATTGGAATTCAGGGCTTCCTTGGGACATGGGAAGAAAGAGGCTGGAATGGCCCTTAGTGTTGGGGACAAAGATACTTAATTCCTATGAACTAAGTATTTGATATTTCCATTTGCCAAGAAATTCTGCCTTAACACGTAAGTCAAGATTTCCAACTTTTGTTTGGCGCTTCACCTTTGCTTCTTGATTATGACCTCTAAGAATGAAACATGGATCCTCCACTTGTCGTGGTCAAATGACGATAACTCTAGGAAAGTCTTCTGAGGGGGCAGCCAGCAGACCCAGCCCTACTGGGAGATTATTTTTCAGATGGAAAAACAGACATTCAATGAGTCATGGGACATGGCCCATCAATCTCCCAAAAGGAGAAAAGGACAGATGCAGCCCTGAAAAGCACAACATGTTAGCTTCCTAGATGCTGGGTTAAGAGGCCTCTAGGGCCTATCCGAATGAAAGGCTGACATCTGTTGGCTTTCAATTTGTCTCATTGATGTCACTTCGGAGTGGTCTGATAGCTGGAGGGAGCTAGCTCTGTAATGACTGTAGACTCCCAGCCCATCGTGGTCAGTAGCTCAGGCCTCCTTAATATTTTGGAATGATTTTAAATTTCCATATTTGTAACCCTGACCTGCTCTCAGATGGATCCATGAAAGCACTACCCCTACAGGTAGAACAGCCTGGTACAAAGGCACAAGGCTGTAACAAGGAAGGCACAATCAGAAACAGTATGATATATGTGGGATCCTTTTCTGGCTAAACATCTCAAGCTACAGACTACGGAGGCAGTGACAACTGCAGTGTCAAGACCCCAGTATAACGGACTCACCGGGATTCGTGGCAGGAACTGTGATACCAACCTGGCCATCGGTTTTGTGGCAGTTACCTGTAGCTTTGGGTAACTCTTCTGGTTTCTTCACCCTGACACAAAATCTCTGACTCTTTTTCTGACATTCCATTGCCGGCAATTAAAATATTACTAACGTAATGAGCAGGAGAGTTATAACCAACAATGGGCCCTTAACGAAATGAAGGCTACTTAGAATCCGTTACGTGGTGTGTCGGGGGTGGGTGACGCTGATGCTCCAGGAAGGTTGTGGGTGGAACACTGACAGCTAAGGGCATACCTGGGCTGAGCTGAACCACTCCCTGTAGGCAATCTGGGGCTTTCAGAACCTGCGGGCTGCTCCCACCAAACTACATGAAGGTCATGAGGCATCAAAGAATTTAGGGTAAGCCACTTCCATTTTCAGACACCCAAGTGAAGCCAGCTCCACACACATCACAAGAATGTCCTTTTAAGGATAGAGCTTCCTCTCTTTTGTTCCTCCATTTAAGCTCACTCAAGAGCCGTTCTCATGCCTCTCTTCTAGAATCCAAAAGGCCACGAGGCTTTGAAGACTGCATTACTCTGGTAGTCTAAGGGGAGTCCCCTCCCTTCCTCTCTTTCTTCTGCCCTCCACGTTCAGCAATTTACAGACACCAAGAAAAATGATAAGACATTTATTGAGTCATCTACAGCAGTTTGACATCCTTAAAATCCCAGACAAGGTGAGAGCACAGCGTTGATGGAGGCAGCGGTAGCAGTGAGGTCCGTGGGATTTATCTTTATTGTGGGAAATTAAACCCAGACTGGTCCAGCTCCCATGAGTGGGCCTGGAGCCACATCTGAAGTACCAAGGGCTGAAACACCCTGACAGACGCTAAGCCTCAGAAGACAGACAGCAGACGAGACACACATGGCTTAGTACAGACATCACAGGACCTGGAGTTCAGGGAGAGGAAGAAGAATGGGCATTTGGCCAATTCTTGAGGAATGTCCCATACCCTTAAAGGATGCCAGCAGAGATGGCACAGAGATGCTCACAACACTCAGAGTTCTCGCCATCCTGACCTTCAAAGCAAACTGAATAAAGTGATGAAGATAAAGCTGGAATTCAATGATCACCAGAGCCCTGTGGTTTCATCCTCACCCTCAGTGCTGGTGGTTTTACAAACAGGGTAAAGGTTAACTTAAGAGTGCTCAAAGCAGAAGATAAGCTGCAAGAAGGATACCTTTCAGAGTCTACACCCTAAGAATGAGCACACAGCTGTGTTGTTTTCAGAGTTTATAAAATCACAGGGAGCATTTTATTTCCATTCCTAGCTAGGGGATAGATGATGATGCAACCATGGCTACCTCATTGCAGATTAGGGGTTGAGGATGAGGAGGTATGGAGTCCCAGAACAGATGGAGAGAGCCAAGTTCCTTCTATCTTTATACCAACTCCATTGCTTCTCCTGCACTGTAGCATGAACTCCTAATCTTTCTTCCACTCCTTCAAAAGATACACTGTATTCAACGGCTGCTTGCTTGAAGTGTTACATCTGGCTCACGCAAGGCTAGACAATACTGGTAGGGCTACATTCTCATTCAAAAACATGCTAGGCCCACCTGTTGGTTTCCAGCTCCCTAGGCTCAAGTGGAATTTGACATGGTACTCACTGCCTTCTCTTTGTATGGGGTAAAGGGTATTCAAGGAATCCAAAAGGGAGTCTCTCACAGCTTTCCCTCCAAGGAAGAGAGGGTACAGACCAAATAGCAGAGCCCCTGGTGCTGGGCGACCAAGCACCAGTATGCTGACCAAGCTCCATCCCAACTCCCCAGAGACGTCAGTCTGAGGAAGAGAAGGGTTAGGAAAGGACCCACCAAGGGCTGCTGAGCATGTCAAGGACATCCTCATCACTGTCCACTGAGAGTATAGTCAGGACCGAAATATGGTGGATCCCAAGGTTCACGCACAAATCTGTCTTTCTGGCAGCCTCAGCATTCCTATTACATAATCCCATGTTCTGAAGACTACCCCCTCTCCTGACACCTGCTGCTTACCCTATAGCTGGACAGTCATGACAGGAAACAAGGACAAGACAGGGATGTCCTCATCCCCTAAGCTGGGTTGTTCATGAGATGAGATTTGGCCTTTAGGGTTTCCTAGAACAAGACCCTACTTCCCAGAAATGATCCTCCACAGGCTGGGTGCCCCATGGAACTGCTACGCTCCTGTCTTGAGGTTTCCAAGTTCAAGAAGTTCTTTTTACCTGCCAGACAGGATTTCTTAATAGATTTCCCTTTTCTGGGTCCAGGCTACACTACTACAACTCTTGCCTGGGCCTCTCCAAAAGAAGATGGTTGGTTTTAGACAGAACCCCAGTGGTACACTGGCCTACACACAAATCAGTAAGTCTTATTGCTTGCACTATATATGTAAGAGGGTCAAAGGGGAAGGGCTTTACCCAGCCTCATGCTGTCTCTTCACTGCCTGCGGCCTAAAAGTCAGACCCACCTGGGAACATGCACAATCCTTCAGGCCCATCTTCTCACAAGACTAGCAAAAAAAAATTCTTCCAGACAGGAAAACAAAGCAACAGGAACCTGGAACTTGAACTAGGGCCCAGGCCCTGGGCTCAGGAAGCAGCAGCAGGGGCTCAGGAAGCAGTGGGGGCTCAGGGTTGATCTGGTTTTTTGTTGTTTTGCAACTAGAAAGTCACAGTTTCTTCTTCCACAGTGAAGCAGACCCACTGGTGGGGGTGATGACAAGTGAATGGGGTTGATAGCCCAAGGGCTGCACCTTGGATGGAGTGTGCCACAGGCAACCTGTCCCTGCCAGGAGTAGAAGGCTAGCTCTGCACAAAATGCCTGAGGTCCCATTCAAATGACCATAGCCAGTGCTCTACCATCTTGTACTGTGGTATCCAAATGGGAAACTAAACAGCATGTCATCCCCCCCACACATACACACCTTAGATGATATACACAAGGATACATCTCTGTTTGCCTGCCTTAGTTTTTGACTAATACAGAATCCAGAGAAGCACTAGAAACAACCTCATTTCAGAAACAAGGTAGCTGTGGCCTGGCACACGGCACATTGTGTTCACAGTCATGAGCCCAGCTGGAATCCTGGACCAAGGCTCTTCTAAATGGCTCAGGCTCCCTATAACTGTCCAAAGTGCAAGGTGATCAACTGATTTCTTGTTTGGCTGATAACATGGTTCTGGGAACAGGGGAGGGGATGGTGGTAAGAGATAAGATGCAGGGGAAAAAGGTCAATGTATACTCAGTGGTCCAAGCCACTAAATGTTTCTGGAAAAGAACCATGGAGGTGCGTACTCCTTCTGGCTTTGCTGAAGACCCAAGAACTTACTTCACCAGCCAAAAATACAGACTTCATCTCTTAACTCATATCAACTAGAACAGTCTCCAGTCTTTCTAACGGCTCCCCCATCAGCACTGTCATAAATCTCGTAGAACCCCTTCTGCACAATACAACAGCAAGCAAGAAGACAGCATCCCACACTCCACATGCATTCCAGAGCACAATCATGAACAAGTCCACAGAGGCCAGAACAAGAACAAGCATCAACATGGAATGATCAGGGCCCCATGGCCCCATGGCACTACTGTTTTGTTTTGTTTTGTTTTGTTTTGTTTCCTCTACCTTTCCAAAACTGGATGTGGCCTTATTTTAAAGTCTTAGGTTATGGCTGTGCAACAGGCAGCCAGAGAGGCAAGATGGGCACTAGAGAGCCACCACTCCTCCCATTAGCAGCTCCTGTTCATGCACATGACAGACACAGTGTTCCCTCCAAACACTCTCAGAGGCCCACAAGCGATCCAAATGTCAAGGGCACACGGAGGAAGTAAGTCTTGAAGATATCTGAGTTTAGTAACTGAGTCCAGGCTGGGGATGGCATGTAGGGTTTCTTGTCATCAGTAGAGGTGGGGCTGTGGGTACCCCTGGACCCATGACTTGGCTCTCAGAAATTAAAAGTTGCTTCAGAACTCATTCATTTCACTGCAAGGTGGCTGGTTCATTCTAGACATGGCTTTGACTTCTGGGGAAATGGAGAAGAGAGAGGGTGGGGCTCTCTGCGCTTGGTGTGGCTGGAGAGCAGCTTCTTCAGACCATCCACTGTGGGCCAAAAGGGTAGAAATAAAGCCTCCACATAATCCAGCCTTGAGTCAGGAGCACAGTTGTGGATGTGGTAGGATCTTCAGCTATCCCATCTCCTTCCTGGTTGAATCTGCATTTCTGGCTCTCAGCTCTTAGATCAAATGAAAAGCACCAGAACTTTCCCTGACCCTCATTCCCCCTCACACACACACTCCAACTTAAGTCTTTGATTAAAAGAGCCCTGGAGTCCTCCCATCCCCCAGGCACACAGGAGCTGAGCACCTGGACAACCTAAATTCCAGGTAAGCAAAAGGAGCCTCAGGCTGGTCTGCTCCAAAGAGTGCTCAGGACACTGAGCTACATCCCTGGCCAACTGCAGGACTTGGTACAGGCTGAGAAGGGCCTACATCCAAAGTCAATTCAGTGAAAGGCTGCTGGGGTAAGCGCTACCCCAGCCTCTCCAAAGCAGGCATGTTTCAGCCTCAGCTCACAAGGCCTTGTACCTGGGATCAGGCCATCACGGAGGCTGGCCTTGACACAGTGGGTAGAGCTAGGTGAGCAGGGGTGCGGGTTTGGAGGAGAGATGGGGCAACTTTCCAAATCTGAGGTGTATTTACATGTCAAATTGGACTCAGTGGACCACAGTAGGCAGGGCCCAAACAGGAGGAGCAATATCAGCCTATACCCTATCTCTCTCTTCCCCCTTGGAGGAGCCCAGCTTCCTACCCAGGGCCTGCCCAAGGAGAGGGGAGAGGCACAAACATGCGCAGGCACTGGCCCTCGGCCCCAGCCTGTGCAGGAGAAGGAGGGAGACAGGGCTCAGGTGGCCAAGTTGTCGGCCGGGAGGCTGGACATGCGGAGCTGGGAGCTGCTCTTGCTCAGGATGGACAGCTGGGTCCCCCCATTCACGCCACTGCTGGCCAGGGATGGATGCCGGTGCTTGAAGTCCATAGTGAAGTAACGGTTCACCTTCCAGCTCCGCCATTTTCTTTTAACCTCTGCCTGTACCTGTGAGAAACAACATGCGTGTGACTTCCTGGTGAGCATCTTCTATGCCCTGGCCTGGTGCTTTTCCAGCTGCCCCTGTGACTCCTGACCCACTCCCTAGCTGTACCCTACAGCCTTGTCCTAGTCTGTCGTGGCAAGGTTTCTGGACAGTGTCCTGCTGTCAGGGCCTCTCAGAGACCTATTAAAAATAAAACTTTCTTAACAACCTCTTGAAGCATAGGGGTCAAATAAAAATCCTCAGCCTCGTTGACCACTGTAGGATGCAGATAGCTTGAACTATCCCAGATGCCCAAAGCCCATGAATGGTGACAGGAACATCTCCGGATAAGACCTAGACATCCACAGTTTTAGATGCTTCCACGGTGAGGACTTCTGAGACTGAGAGTTAGAAAATCGTCTGTGCCTCTTGTCAAACTCCCATGTAGCTCTCCACATAGTAAATGGTTGCTGTGCCAAGAAAGCCTGAGCCTCCATATGCCACTTCAGCCAAGCACCTTTACGCAGTACACAGACTGCACGACTAGACACAGCACCCACACCCACTTTCTCCACTTCGTGTCTCCACTCCCTTGGCAAACTCCTGACAAGCTGCCCATACTCCCACATCTGGGCTCCCCCACAGTCTTTAAGCAAGGGCCTGTGGGCTCTCTGTCTGTCCTAATGTGATCATTGCTGTAGGTTGGCCATCTGATCATGGCAGCTAGTTGTCTTGAGTTTTAGATGAAAACAAGAGGAAGAGCCTGTTGAGGCGACAGCCTCAGGGGAAAAGACCCCTCCCCATTTAGCCCATTCCACCACTTCCCAGGCAGCTCTATTCTGGGCTCTGGTCCAGAACATTATCCCAGTAGGCTGGAGAGGGAGCCCCAAATGCTAGCTCTAAATAAAACACCTCTAAAAGGTTCCAGGCATCTCCTTAGGCTTTCTTCCAAATTCCCACAGGCTCTGTGCTAGCAAGGACAAAGAGGCTGGCTTCCTGTGGCTCAACAGCACAGCCCAGCACAGGCTGATGACCTACAGGCACTAGCTCCTACTCACTAAGGCATGTCTTTTGAAGAGAACATGCCATGGAGTTGTGTTCTCAAAAGGCTTAACCATCTGTACTTTAGTCTGCCTTAAATGCAGAGGCAGAGTGATTCTCAAACAGGTGGGACATGCCAGGAGACATTGGTACCATATAACACTGTAACTATGTCACTCACTCCCTATCCTTACTTCTGGGAACCTGGAAGATCCAACCCAACAAATATGCTTCCAGTCTTTCCCCAACAAGCCCCACCTGTACTGCTGAGAAAGTTGGAAGGACTGTGTCTTACCTCCCCATTCAGGAAACAGTAGAGTACAGCCACCACAAAGCCCTGGGGAGAGAACACAAACAACCATGAGCCTACCAGAAAGAGAGATCTCTGCAGACACCGTGGGCATGTGGGAGGAATGACAGTGGAAAAGATGCCAGGAAGAAGAAAACACCATAGTCTAGACAGAGTACACCTGTTCAAGGCTCTAAGGTAAGGCAGATGCCCTTCTCCACAAAGACAGGCACTTCCATGATGCCAAATTGTTGATAGACCAGTCCACACTAATAGACATCTCAACTTGGATCTCACATTCACTTGCCAAATAGCTCCCATTGCCAATGACTATCTTTACCCAGCAAAGCAAATCATGAGCAGTAAGTACGTGGCAGACTATGAATTTAGCTAGTCTATACTCAACAAAGCAACCTTTTCCGAAGGCTGAAAGCCAGGTCTGTAGGTTCTCAGTACCCTGGGCTGTCATTTTAAACAGCCAGAAGAATGATAGTTGGAATATGTCAGTAAACATAAAGATGGGAACCCTGGGTTGCAATTTCTGGGTTAGAACTTCATCTGTAATACAGCCTCACCAGAGTAAGAATGTGAATTTCAGAAGAGTTTTGGATAGCAATTCAAGCCAGCTGCACAGAATATTTTCTGACCATCAAACTCAAGCACTAATTTAAAGAGGTGGGTTAGAGAGAGATGCTCTCCCTTTACAGCCCACCACCACTACTTCCGTCATTCACTTCCTGGCTGTGGTGAGGCATGAACTTCCTTACAGTCACATACTCATTCCTGCCTGTGGAGGACATCAGATCTAGTAGCCATGTTAGAGACAAACACTGAGGTTGGAAGTCGGGGTTCACAGGGTTACAGTGCTGACAGCAGTTCAGAGGTCAGGGCTTAATTCCAACAAACTATGTCCTCTGAATGCACCATACCTACCTGGAAAGAGCCCAGCCCAAGCTCAAACACAAGTCTTTCCCTCTTGCTGACATTCTCTGGAGAAAAGGCGAATACTGTGTAGTGGATTCCAAACAGTGGGATGAGCAGCAAAGTGGAGCGGGCCAGCCGTCTGTCAGGAAAAAACAAACATCTGCTCTGGGGACTGCAGGGCTTGGGAACCTGAATGGCAGAGGGCCTGTCATTAGCCCTGGCTACCCTTCAGTGCCCCTGTTCACAGACCCTCTTGGCATTCTTCAATGGTGGAAGGGCCTGGGAGTGAAGGAGCCGACTAAAGCACATGGATCCTAGGATGTTGTAAGTCGGCTGGGCACCTAGTCAGGATCCTGCAAGGCCACTGAAAATGTACCATTTATAACACTCTCTTGAGTAATATGTAAAGTTAGGGGAAAACTTAAGATAGGATTCCAGAGTGTTGATCTAAAGCAATCCCATCCTGTCTCATAAAGAAGCTACATGAACTCAAAAACAGCTATCCTAAGACCCATGAGAATAGGGTTTTTCTGAATCTGGTTATAGCTAGGGACACTGGGTACAATGCTGATGACCAGGAAGTAGGGTCATAGGTGGGACATGCAAGAAACTTGGGAAGGTTTCAAGGAAGACCTTGATGATGGAGCAGAAATTCTACCTGCATAAGAGAGAAATGCTGACCCAGAAACTGAACCAAAGGAGGAAAAGACTGTCTACCCCAAGGACTGGGCGGCAAGCAAGCCAACCAGTCCTTCTGGGATTCTCTCCTGCTCTTAGCTCTTGAAATAGAGCCAAGAGTAGGGTAGAGCCTTGTATAACAAACAGTACAGGGGCAGAAAAGGTCCACAATGAGGACATCAGGCACGTGTGGGCTGGAGCTGCTGCTCCAGAGGGAGTAAACTATCACAGGGGCTTCCCAGACTGGGGCACCATCTCTAACCATCCCAGGACGCTGGGCCCCTCTGAGCCTCCCAAAGACCCAGGCTCTCCTCTGTAGATGTTCTTTTCCTCAGCTGTACCCAGCCCCCTGGGACCATCAACCTCATCCTATGTGGTCACACCTTAGCCTTCAGAAGTGGACAGTAAATATAAGGGCGACCTTTTGACTGGGATCAAGTCTACCATGTGTCCCTCCGTTCCCATTCCAAGTCTATCTCGGAGAAAGTATTCCCACTGAATGTTGGAATCCAGATTTCTTGAAATGCCAAATCCCTAAATTCTGTATAAATCCCTTGATATCCTAGCCTCTATGAGAAGGAGGGAAAGGAGAAAGAGATTGGAAGGAAGGAGGAATGTGAATTTGAGGTGACCTTTAGGAGAAGGTTCAACCCAGAAAGGAGGAAGCCCACAATTGTTGGTCTCAGAGTCCCTTCCTTGCTCAAAGGAAGCATATTCTATAATCACTGAGGGTCCCTAGACCAGGACAGGGTCACTGGGATATGAGTGAGTCCCTGCAATGAGCCCACATGGATTCCTAGCAGTCTGCCCTCATTTTTGTCCATAGCATAGGGACCCTGAAGAGAACCCCTCTTTTATCTATTGGGTCTCACAGCAACCACCTTTAGGCACATAGTCAGCACTGGAAATGCCCAGGTTATGGAAGAGCAACAGGACTACCCAGGCACACAAGCTAGAATCCTTAAAACCCAGCATCTCCCAGGCAACAGGTCCTGTTTGCCTCTCAGGGCCCAGGATCTCCCACCAGAAAGCATCAGGGTGTGTCTGGAGACAGAATGGAAGTTGGAAACACTGAGAAATGTGCTTAGCAAAGAACATGCAGATCTGGAGGTCCTGTTGTGTCCTAACGCAGTCTAGGGCCCTGCATTCTTTCGCCAGCTTTCCCTCTACAGTGTATCCATTCCAGGTTCTTGCTTCATCAGAGTAAAACGGAACCTGGGAACCAGGTGCCAAGCCTCTCCAGTGTTCACAATGGCATTAGAAGTCTTGGGTTCAGGGATGGTGCCAGACCTCTCCCAGTCACAAGACAGATTGGGTCTGAGCAGAGGTTTTCCCAAGGTATGGCCCAAGAGCAGCATTGACAAGGATAATAGCCAGAACACCTTAGCGGGCCCTTGGCAGACAGTGAGTGGTGACAGATGAGGGGTCTCCATGAATCCAGTGTGGGGGACCTGTGGACCTCTGAGCTGAAAAGTTTTGAACTGTGACTAACCCAGAAAGACAGTGACACAGCTCTACCTCCATCCTCCTACCCAAAAAAAGCCATCAAGAGGAAGAGGAGCCCTACAATTCCAAGAAGAGCTTCCAGCAATCAGAGACACTCGAGCTATGAGTGGGCTGCCAGGAAAGCCACACTTCCAACTCTGTGGGTGTCATAGGTGACCTAGGGTGTGATTCTTAGGATGCTCGAGGCTCTAGTCCTTGCCTTCCCAGGCATGTGACTTACTCCACCTTGCCATGTTCCAGTTTCCTCGTCTATATACTGGAAACAGTGTGAAGAGCCACCTTATAGTGTCCTTGTGGAGACAGAGTCTTAGCCAAGTTACACACAATGTGCTCATCACATAGAGAATTCATCCCAGCTCTGAATTCTTACAGTTTTGCAACTTCCAAGACTAAAGCCCAGAGGAAGTGGGGGCCTGAGGAAGGACACACTTCTGTCAGCAGCCACTAACCGCTGGCTGTGGAGTCAGGCAGGTATCAGTAGCCACCACGTCAAGACGTTCCTGCAGTGCCACAGCTCCAATACTCACATGCCTCCAGCCCCACCCACAAGGTTGCAGAGAGCTCACAAGACACATATCAACATGCAACAGCCAGGAATAGGGTAGGCTGGGAGGCACACAGTGGCTCTCCACATTCCTCCAGCCTGGCAGAATCCAAGCACAAGGCAGTGGCAGCAAGAGCAACATGCACATCCCCTCCCCACCTCCAGGACTCCCGGCCACAGCCACGGCCATACACACTTACAGAGTAATGGTGGATAGTTCTGACATCTTGCAAGAGTGCTGCTGAGCCCGCTGTGGCTTGCAGTAGCATTTCTGCACGCAGCTGCTGGATGTGACAAGATTAGCACTTCTGTCAGCTGGGGACACTGGGCAATGAAGAAACTGCAGTAGGACTTGGGAAGACTTAGTTTACAGGGCAAAGGGAGGGCAGAGAAGTGAGGGAATGGAGACAAGCTAAGGAAGTCACCCAGAGGAGAATGAGGAAGCCAAGGACTAAAACAGTCAGCTCTAGACAAAGGAATGTGTGTCCATAAGTATACATGTATGTGCATGATCATAACACACACACACATATATAAACACATACACACACACACACACACACACACACACATGAATACACATTCTGAGGCCACTAATATGCTAGTAGTATTAAAAGGCAGATATGTTCGGGTGATGAGGACTGAGATGGGACTCAGACAGGGAGCCAGAGGCCATCAGCCCCAGACTTAGAGCATGGCTTTGCCATGATTACCCAGTAAAATGAATAGCTGGACGCTCATGCTGTGGACCTCAAAGAAGACTGTCATGAGGAGATAAAGTTCTCGGCTTGGTAGCAAAGATCACCATGGGTGTTCTGACCATCTTTTCTTCCCCCACACCCACTTCTTCTCAGTATAAGCACACACAGAAGACTAGAGGCAGGCTAGATGTAATGGACTATTCATTAGTCTAGATGGTATTTACCTACTAAGGTAGCCACTATCCTAGGTGGCTATTCAAATTAAAATTAATCAAAGTCGAATAGAAAGAAAACTCTACTTCCTCAGTTATTCTAGTCACAGTATCAGTGCTTAATAGTCACATATGGCTAGTGGTGATCATGCTGGACACAAAACCACAAAACATTTGAGAAACTCCATAGGACAACAGGAACACTGGTTTCCCTACCAAAGATCAGGAGTCAGGTCACCTTAGATGCCAAGTTATCTCCCCATGGAGCTAACTGATGCATCTCATGCTGGCTAGTGGATGCATAAATCAGGTGTGGATGGGTTAGATATGAACAAAGGCAAGTATGCAGTAGCAATTAGTTCCTCGACATTCAAAGAGCTGCTCCTTGACTCCAGCTGAGGCAACTAGAGTCTGGTGACAGGCTACTCTGCTGAGGCAAGAGCATGTTTTTCCAGATGGGGCAAACTCCAGCCTGCCCAGCAGGCTGTTCCTCTCCAAGCCAGTGCTCCTCATTCAATAAATGGTATCTTTCATTTCATATCACCTATGATGTGGGTGCTGAAGGCCCATTCTGTAGGTGTTACTTGATGACTCGCTACTCAAGTGGTCCCTAGACCAGTGCTAGGAACAGTACTTGACCACATCTCAGAAATAGACTATGATGCCACATGGCCTAGTGACCTACCAGCCCAAGAACTGCATTTTAACCACAGCCTGGGGAGGAACTGGAGGAGCCCTATTGTAAGGTGGTCATAGATAGCAGAAGTGTCTTGTGGGTCCTCTGTGAATGACAATGGATTTTGTGTCTGTGGTGTGTGTGTGTGTGTGTGTGTGTGTGTGTGTGTGTGTGTGTGTGGAGAGAGAGAGAAAGATCTCTGGGTCCATCAGAACATCTATCCTTTTCCTATCATCTCCCTTGCTTAGAACAATTGGCTAACAACCCTTCAAGCCTGGCTGAAGCAGACACCAACTCCAGGGCCACTCCGAATCAGTGCACAGCACGTATCTATTGCTCAACGGGGGGCACCTTGAATTCCAAGCTTTAGCCTTTCTTCTCCAAGACCTCTTCCCCCCACCAAACTGTCCCATGTTCCTCCCTTTGGGGGAATCTATGACATTTTATGGTAAACATGGGCTCCTCTGATTTTCCTGTTAAAAATATTGAAAATAGCCAAAGGACAATTTAGTGACAAGTTCACTGGGATGGGAGAGGAAGGTCAAATCAAGGAACAACAAAAGCAAGGGTGACATCCAGAGGGATCTCTGGGAGACTTTCCAGAGAAAGAGAGGAGGAGGCCCTCTCCCAAGACCCTGGCCCTGTCCTGCAGTGACTTACAAATAGACTCACTGAAAAGCAACAGATGGGCAGTGGCAGGCAGGCTACCCTGGAGTGTGAGAAAGGCAGGGTATGGGACTCCCAGGACAACTAAGCAAGAGGAAAGAAAGGTCTTGTCTAGAGATGCATCTAGGTCAACCTCAAGGGCCACACTGAAGCCTGGGAATCCCAGCAGACTCAGAAAAGTGTGCTAGGTGGTTCCCCTATATCAGCGGTGGTCAGTGGGAGCTGGCCAGTGGGAGTTTGGCAGTGGCTGGTACAGAGTCCCCTCTGCAAGTCAGAGAGCTTTGGCTTCCAGACCCAGCTCTGACATGGCTTCTCTTCATCTATAGGAATATCAAGGCTACTCCATGGTCTCAGCTCTCAGGGTCTATATCCAGGGTATCCTTCCCTGGGGATCTGGCATAAGGCTCTGTGTGAGGGGCTGACTGGACTGCAGTTCCAGGAAACAGCCAATAGAACACTAGACATACATACCTGTCCATGCCCTATGCAGATAGCACCCGCACTTCTTCACCTCTGACCCTAGGAATTCATGCAATACTGCTTCCTTGACATTCTCCAGGCCATGCTGGTCTCTGACACTCACATGCACCATCTGAATAATGCCTGGTTCCCAGGAAGCATTCCCCAGAAATAGCATCCCTGCTGGAAGTATAGCTCAACATCACGTCCTTCTCCAACAGGGAGGCAGAATGACCTTGGGCTCCCAGATGGAGTCCACGTCAGGTTCAAGGTTTTATAGCTACTGACACAGTGGACAGTTTTTTTTTCCCCTAAGTTTCTGCAGATAACAGGTTCCCTAAATCACCCCTGACCTCTGGGCAGATGCTCCTTGACAGTGTGGGCATTATGGGGTGCAGGGACTAGAAAGCCTTAGTGTAGGCAAAGCCTCTGGCCAGACATCCTGATTGAAAGGCTGCCTTGCTATGCAAAGTGTGTCCAGGAAGGTGGTGGAGGAATCCCAGAGGACAATGTGGATAGGTTTCCTCTCTCTACCTCAGATCATAGAGGTAGATTCTAATGCCCACCTCCAAGAGTAGAACCAGTCATGGGCATTATGAATGAAGCCAGGCTGCTCCTTGACTGGGCTGAGCCAACTCATTCCTTGCTCAGTCTGAGTCTTCGAGAAAACTTCCTTCTTTTCCACCGTCCAGAATCAGGGAGATGTGCCTAGCAGAAACTTGGGCTTTATGCCACAAAAAGCTAGCCCTGCCCAGCCCAGGACTGAACCTCACACAACCCTAACCTGAGCCCCTGCTGACCCTAACACAGGCCCAAGCTCCCCTGCCCTCCAAAAGGCCCCACATCCAGCAGGTCCCTCAAGGCTGAGCCAGGAGCACCTTGGTTGACAGTGAACAAACCCTTAGCATCTGAATGGCTGGAACCAACCTACAGGAAAGGGGGTGAATGCTGGTCTGAGGGCACAGGCAGGGGATCCTCTCGGGCATTCTTGGGGACTCTCAGTCTTAAATTTGTTCTGGAAACAGAGGAAAAAAACCAAAGAGCTGTTGTGGGTAGACCAAAAGGGGCTTTACCACAGAATACACATATCTGGGGACCCAGGCACAGCCCTGGAATCTCCCGCCAAGCCCTGCCCACCCCAGTTTCTCCCTCTCCCCCCCCCCAGTGCAGGTGGCAGCCATTGGAGCCAGCTCCCCTGAAGCCCTGGAAGTGGAGTACTTTTATATGGGAGGATATCTAGAGCCCATCAGGGATCTTCATCCAGGAAGTCTTCTATTTACACCCAGGCTTAACCCTATCATTCAGAACCTGTAGATCTCAGGAACCCATCCCAGGAAGGACGACTCAAGCCAGCTCCAGTGCTGACTGCCTGCACTGTGGCCACAGCCTAGCTTCTTCCTGTGGCGTTCACCGAGCTTCGTAGAGCCCTAGTGCTCTCTGCTGCAATCGGGGCTTCTACTTGGCAATGGCACTGTGTTGTTGCTGTGAGCACCAACTGCATTCAAGTGTTTACACATGTTCTGCAGCTTTCAGCGGCTTTGTCACCAGGATCAATAAGGTCTCCTCGACCCTGGGAACATCAGAGACACAAACTGGATTCACCTGGAGCAAGCTGATCCCTTGTCCAGCCTTAGCCTTTCCTGGGCTTCCAGACATCATCCATTGGAGTTTTTAATCTTTGTAGCTGGAGACTATCATAGGGTTGGTTTTCTCTACCAAATTGCACCGGCTAAGCCTGTAAAGTAACTAGCCACTCTTCAAAGTTCTAAGCTAACATGAAATACAACTATAAGCCATGTGCTAATCACATGTGGTTCTTATCTACGCATTAAGAAGGCCCACTGTTTGTTCCCATCAGGCCAGGAGCAATTGCCGTTGTTTGGGGCAGGGCATTTGAGGTGGGAAATGTGTGATCAGGCTTTCCAGAGGGTGCTAATTTACCAAGGCCGAGTCTCTGTGTGTGCCTCTCTGTATAGGCAAAGTAGGAGATGTTGGGGGGAGGATGGACTCTTTCCATTCAGCCCAAAGAAGATGGCTCAGAGGCCTCAGAAGAAGACCCAGATCCTACCAGGAAGGGGAGGAGACTGCGGAAGGTTGACAGTGCTCAGGAGAGAATGAAGCTAAATTAGCTTCTCAGCAGCTCTGATTGCAAGAGGTGATAGTCAGGAGCAGGGCCAGATCACAGCTAAGCAAGGGAAACTGGACTTAAAGTATGACTTTATTTTCCTACACTGGACAGGGAGATGGGAGAGAGGAGCAAGGGGAATGTTTTGTGACTCTCCGGGACAAGGTTATCTCTCCAGTGCAAGGGCAAGGAGCAACAGAGCCATTGCCCTACTGAAATAAAAAAAAAAAAAAATAGCTTTCTATTACACCACAGATAGAGACAAGTAAGGGTTGTTTAAAAATGATAATAAATAAATAAATGCCTGGTGAAATATGAAAAAAAAAATGGACAAGTAAATAAATGGCAAAATCATGAAACAGTAAACAGGGTGGACAGTAAAATAACCACAAAGCTGCCCCTTTTCAATGTTATGTCATTATTGCAGAGGCAGAGAACACACGGTATATAACAAAGACCCTGTGCTCACCATCAGCACAGGGAAACAGGTGGTACCCCGCAGTCTAGACAGATGGATGGACCAAAGGCAGGGGGTTTGACGCCCCCTCAAATCCCCAACGGAACCTTAGAACGGCTGTGCGCCCTCCGCTCCACACTCTCCACTGCACCCTCTTTTTTTTCAGGGAAGCTATCAAGGTTGCAAGCCTCAGGTTGGGTCTCTAACAAAGACCCCAGTGAGGCTGCGAAAGTACCAAAGCTCCTCTCATGTATCCTTGGTTGCCACTCTGCCCTTCCGATCAACCTCACAAAGCCCGTGACCTTTCTTCTTTAGCATCAGAAGCGTCTCCACGTCCCTCAGCCCATTCGGAAGCTCCAAAGGGAGAGGCAGCAGGAGCTCTATCTGATTTCAGAATGGGACAGGGCTGGGATTGAGGTGGTCATGTGTTTTTAGAGTAGTGACTGAAAGACTACTTCCTGGAACTCAAAAGTCTGTAAGTGTAGTGAAAGCCTTTGCACTCAGTACCAATAACAGCCTGTGTTCCTCTGCTAGGGACGAAGGGTGCTGAGGCAGAAAATCAGACAGATACAGAGGTGGGCAGAGCTGTTCTGAGGAAAGGCGGAGGAAAGAGAATCTCCAGGCAGTGTATGACCATGGAGAAGTTCTCCTTGCTGACTGCCAGGCACTTAGGAGCTTCCGCACAGTGGAAGAGGGGGCGTGGCCTGGCAAAGCCATGCCTCCAATCTGCTCATCTTCCCACAGAATCAGCATCCCCAAAGGAAAGCCAGCTTCTAAACAACCAAGACTCTTGCTACCCCCAGGGACTCTGGAGTTCTCTGGTGATGTGACTGCCATCGCAGAGGCTGTCAGTCTTCTCTCTCTCTCTCTCTCTCTCTCTCTCTCTCTTTTTCTCTCTGGTTTTCTATGCAATGCCCGTGTAGCTGAGGAGCTCTGGGTTAGCTCAGGCCTGAGAGGGCAGTTGTAGTTCACAGGCATGTTAATCAGGAAGAAATCTTGCAATTGCCCATGCTAGGTCAACCTGCCAACAAAGTTCAAGCTCTGTCCTGCCTGTGACCCAGGCGCAGGCCGTGTGCTAGGAAATGGCTGTGGGCATCACCACATCTGTCCACATAACATACTTACAAGTAGATGCTGGACTCATTGCCTCCCATGTCTGGAGACTGCAGCTTCTGCACCAGGATGATGATGATGCCAATGAAAAGCACGAAGTTAACCTGAGGAGTGAAGAAAAGGCAGACTTCACATCACTCCCCGGCAGGGCCCTCTTCCAGCCAGGCAAGTTCCCTTGCAGACTTCTAAGCCTCTCACTGAGCCACTCAAAAGAAGGAAAACATCTAAGAAAAAGAATTCTATGCATAAACCTGCAAATAGAGAGCATAGAGAGTAAGCCAGGAGGTGAGCACTGTCTGGAACAGAAAGAGGAGAGAAGGCTAGGGTGATATAAAAGAGGCAACTGCATAGGGGACCCCAAGCTCAGCCAGGTGGTGGTGATGCAGGCCTGTAATCCCAGCACTTGCAAGGCCATAGCTGGAGGATCAGGTATTCCAGGGAAGCCTTGGGTATATAGCAAGACCCTGTCTCAGAGATGGAGCGATAGGGAAGTGGGGTAGAGCTGGAGAGAGAAAGTTCAAGTTCAGTGTCATGGAGCACAGAAAAGCAGCCTCAGCATTCCTAGTTAGGGGACTGCCTGGGAACAGCAATAGCAGCATGTGCCATCAGGGACAGATGCTTTCCAAACAAAGTGGGAAGCTGCGTCTGTGCTGAGAAAGGAGGAGGAGGGGCTGCAAATGAATGCAAAGGAGGCACAACAAGAAGACTGCAAGACGCGGCGATCTTGCTGGGCCAGAGCCAGCGTCGCCCTCAAGAAAAGAACACACACAACACGACTCTTTAAAAATAATAGCAGCTGCTGAGAACAGCTACCGAAAGCTGGGGCAGTGATCATCTTAAAGCTGTCTATAGGAGGGAACCTGACGCAGGTAAAAGTCATGAGAGAGAAACCAGAAGGTACAAGGCTTGATCAATAAAGATCCTGTTTGCTCTTTTCTTTGTTTTGCAGATCAGTTAGAACAACAAAGCATACCCCCTCCTCTGCCAGTATTGTTTCTGCTTCTGCTGCTCTCTAATTAATGCTGGAATTTCCTCCCCAAATATTGCTAAGAAATAAGTACAATTAAATATCTAAGGCTGAGAAAGAGGACAAGAGATCAACAGACTATTTCAACTCACAAGGGACAGTTGACCAGAACTAGAAAACTAAAATGAGCAAGAATAGCTTGCTAGGAGGTGGGAAGTCTAAGAACAATGGCTTCAGAGGGAAGTTTGAAACCAGTCAAAAGTCTGGGTAACGCAAAGCATCAGGCCCAGGCGATTTTACAAACTTGTAAAGAAAATGCAATTTCCCTGACATGTAATTGTTTCAGAGCATATAAAAAAAAAAAAAATCTCAAAGACTCTCCTACAAAAAGCAAGCCAAAGGGGTGGAGGTAGGAGGAGAGAGCAGCCAATACACCGCCAGAACTCAGGAGGAGAAAGGAAAAAAAAAAAAAAAAGGTGTGACAGCATGCGCTTGTGATCCCAGGGCTAAAGAGGCGGAGATAGGCAGATCCTAGACTGGATTCCAAGTCAGAGAGAAACCCTTCAAAAAAAGTTCAAATGGGCAAAATTCTGAAGAATAAAGCACACACACACACACACACACACACACACACACACACACACACACACTAGGAAAGGCCAGACGCTCCTCACCCCCCAAACAAAACAAAACAAAACTGAGCATGGTGACACACAGCTACAATTCCAGAACTCAAAACAAATAAGATGATGAATCTGAAACCAGCCTTGGCTACACAGTGAGACTCTGTTTCAAAAGGCAAAACAGAAGCCAGGCGACACAGAAAATAAACTCACAGAGACATATAATACACATAGAGAACAATGCAAAATCTTCAAGCAAAACATTAACAAACAGAATTTGCTACTACATGAAAAGAGCAAGCAGATCATGACCATAAGGATTTCATCCTAGGAATGCAAAGGAGCATACTATTTATTCCTTATAATGACAGATGAAAACAACAAACTCCATCATCCCTGTGACCCTGGCAAATAATTAGTAACAGAAACACCAGCATAGACATGGTGAGTACAGGAAATGAGCTCTCTTGCTCCCTGTCCACAGCCGTGTGAATAGCCAATGCACATACTCTTTGTCCCAGAATCTTATCCTAGTGATTTATCCCAAAGTCATAATCACATAGACTCAAAGCCAGATAACTATATCCCAGCACTAGAGAAGAAAAAAAAAAAAAAAAAAAAAACTGGAATAGCATATTTACACTATTCTGTCAAAAGAGCATGATAGCTTCGGCACATCTGATAAAATGAAATACCCATGCTCAGTTTTATAACAACACACACAAAAGCCAACCAGAAAGAGAACCTTGCCCAATTGCATGCAAGAGAACTGCCAAAAATTAGAGCAAACATTGTCCTCCATAAAAACAAGGAATGAAAGGAACAAATATTGGGAAAGATGGGCAAAAAGCTGTTTTCATTTACAGGTTGCATAATTTTCTATGGAGAAACTCCATGTGAACCAAATAAAAAGGAATTAAACTCTAAAGAGAATTCCAAAGGATAAGTAAGCCAAGAAGCCACAAAAGTGATCACTTCCCTATATGACCCCAATAATCCATCAGATACTAGAATGAAGGAAAGCTCCATAGACTCAACCAGGGCCCAGGCTAGAGAGCATCTCAAAAGAAGCAAACAGCAACAAGTAAAGGTGGACAGACAGGAAATTTTGCTGTATTCTTGGGGATTTTTTTTTTTCCAAATTGGAACATAATTTAATGCAGACCCCCCACCAGACCTTTTCTTACAACTCAACAAAAGTTAAATCACTTCCTATTCAAAAGTCTACCTGACTAAGTGGATGGACAAGTAAGAATTTTGCATATAACATGGTAAAACATACAGGGTCACAGCAGTTGGCACAACCACCTGGGCAGACTTGTAGCACAAAGGTCAAGGGTGACAGCCCACACTGTGTACCTGTTTATGAAAAATATCTTTTCAGCACATAAGACCCTGTAAAAAGACTGAGAATGGGAAATGTGCAGCCACCAAAAATATAAAGGAAAAACAGCATTTTAGAAAAGACAAAAATTAAATACAATCTTCCTTACAGATACATCTTGATCATCTAAATTGCAGTGGTGTTGTGAGGCAATTAAGAGGAGCTTTGTATAGCTTAAGTGGATGGAAATCCTCCATAAACAAGAAATAAGTAAGGCTGAGGACCATGGAGATGAAGCCTGAGGCTCCCAATACATGGAAGTCATGCTGGCCTGGGAACATGACAAAGAAGCAAAGAGGTGTCACAGCTCCTCAGCTGGTCAGTGAGACAATCTGCTAAAGGACAGAACGAAAGATGTTCACAGGAATCTCATAAACATAAGTCACCAAAAACCTGTTCATAAGAAAGTGCTCAGACCCAGTAACAACACAGAAAAACATGACACGCCATTCAGCGGCCACTGTCACCCTGCAGGGGACTGTGCACCAAAAAATGGTGGTCCCATAAGCACAGGGAGTGGCTGGGGAATGGAACCAACTTTCCAGGGGGATGCGAACTGTTAAAGCATTCTTTGCAAAGTGGTAAACGATCTGAAATGTCAGATGTGTACCCTTTTGACCAGCAATTACATCTCTAGAGATTTGTTTTAAAGAAAAACTTACTTACAAATGCTCAAAATTATGCATGAAAATTATTCCTAGTGGCACCTTCCATAATGATGAAAAATGGAATAATATGCTTTCTAACACTAGGGGAAGAACTGAGTAATTTGTGTATCAGTGCTACAGAATATAATACAGTTGTGACAAAGGCCTTCCCCATGTGCTCTCTGCCTGATCTTCCTCCCCTCTTTGTCCCAAAGGACACTCACCATTATAGAGCCAACCACAGGACCTTTGATCACCCACCACAAAGCTGTGCTGTCATTCATATCCCAGCATCTGAAAGATAGGCAAAGAGGAGAAATCATAACAGACCACTGCAGAACATTGTATGATTATCTGGAGGCCTGCCCCTTTCACCATCTGTGTCCCTGATTGGGGAAATCTGGGGGTAGAGGTGGGCTGGCTAGAATATCCCTCACCCAAGGCTTGCTTCTTTCTTCTGGTCCTCTGTCATGACAGAGACTGGAACCCAAAAACCAGGGTCACAGTGGGATCCTAGGAAAGGACATGTTTCCCATTCAGATCTGAGGTCCTTAGGGTAATCTTGGGGTTGAGAGGGACCTCACCTTCAACATTCTTCCTCCTGTCCTCCAAAGGCTACCAGATATTCAGAGCTTCCCCAAAGCTGCCCCAAAGTAGATGGGCTCAGAAATTTGTTCACTCTCTTGCTGGGTTGTCAATTAAGACAAGGGTGACCACACGGGGTGAAAGCTGAGAAAGGGCCTGGGACCAGGCTTTGGTCCGAGGCCAAGACAGGACTGATTTCATGGGGTGAGGACTCACCCAGGGCTGGGTCTTGGTCAGAGCACCATGTTGGGGAGTTCATGTAAAGCCAGGTAGGCACTGAAGGCCATGAGTAAAAATGTACTCAGTACTTCATCCTGATTATTTGGCTGTACTCACCCTGCATCATCGAAGTAGAGTCTCAACACAGCCCACACAGTCACACACACTGTAGGCGTCCCTGAAGAGCAAGAAAAGGAAAACCAACTTGGCCAGAATACTCTTGGCCTTGTGATTCCTTGAGACCCTACTGTCCCTCATACTCCAGCTTCTTCTCATACTTTCCATCTCCCCCAGCTTCAGGACATCTGGTCTCCCAAGGTGACTCCTGGATATAACTCTCTCTCAGAAAATGAGGTCCCACAGGAAGGAGTAAAAAAAGAGAAGAGTTCTAAGAATTAACAAGAAGCCCACAGCCTGGGGCGGGCTCCGTTACCTGATGCTTTCTAAAGCTGGGGCCAAGGACACAACTGAGCAGGCAGCCTGAGCCAATTCAGACCCAGTCAGTGACCTACCCCAGCCGATGATGGTGTACCAGTAGAAATATCTCCTCTCGGGGAAGAAGGTCTCCACCAGCAGTGTGAAGAGGTACAGGCCTTCAATGAACAGCCAGAAGTAGTTGGATACCACACAGTAGTGGAAGAAAACCATGACAGCTTTACATTCCACCTACAGAGACATCCAGAGAGGAAAGTTGAGCTCTTTGCCCTGCTCCCAGGTAAATCCTGAACTCCAGCTCTACAGAGCTGCACATGGCTGGCGAGGCATTCCTACTCAGGGGAGGCAGAATGCACAGCATCCTAGGACTCAGGAGAACCCGCCCAGCCACAAAAATGGTGTGTGTGCGGACAGGGGGTAACAGGGCAAAGCTCCAAGCTCCTCTTTCCCACCCTACCACCCCTGGTCTAGCTCTGTAGGCCAGGTAAGTAGGAAGAGAAGCAATCAGCATCCCACACAGAGGACTGCTTACGAAATGAGGATCCAAACCCATCACAGGTAGAATCCCACACTTTGGCCCTGGGAAATCACTTCTCAAATAGATCCTCAAAACATGTCCCCAAGTCTAGTCTGTTCTTATCCCACCCTACCAAAAGCCATATACCTCCTTCACACACCTGTGCTTGGAAAGGCACCTGCAAAGACCCTGGGCATATGGAACAAAAATGCCACATGTCTGGTTACATAGCACGGGACTAGCTAATCCCTGTCTGAGCCTCATTCTCACCTGATCTTCCTGGCCCAAGGTCTAGGCTGAGGGCCTAGCTGTGTTTTGGCTGGGAGTGAGGTCATACACTGGCTATAGTAACCACTCCATAACTCCTAACCTTCTACATGGCCTGGGATGAGGCCTTCTCCTGTAGGAACACTTGCCCTGTAGGGTGTTATCAAGGCAGGGTCTTGGGGTGGCTGGGCTGCTTGGCTCACTTACAGTAGAGACGAAGCAGTGACTGCTGTCCTGCTCGGCATATAAGATCCAGTCTTTGATGAAGACAGAGATAGCCCTCAGCATGAAAGACACGAACAGGTTCATGTGGATGAAGTTTCGGGTGCAATGCAGCTTCCTACACGGACAGTAATGGGGAGGCCATGAGTCCACAGCGCTTCACACCCCCAGGGTGGGGTCTGCTCTGGGCCTACTCATGGCTGTCTTAATGGGGTCCCTCTCCCAGACCACCCTCCTCTCCACCTTGATAATCATCTGCCTTCCCCACCCTGGTCATCCGCTGGCCAGACTTCTCCCTCCTACAGCCTCTCTACCTAGACCTGGAAGATTAAGGCAAGCAAAGGACATTTCTGGGAGGTATTATGCCTGACTGTGTGGTCCTGGACACATGAGCTGCTTTCTCAGGCCACCTTCCCGTCTGCTGTGCTAAGGATTGGACAGTGTCTGCCTTCCAAGGGACTTTCCAGGGATGGCAGAAGGTAAGCACTTTGAGCAGGGATGGACAATTCTGGCTGTAACGCTACTGAGCTCTCACCGGAAGCGGCACAAGATGACCATGGCAGTGGTGAGGGTGACGAGGGAAGTGCTGTAGCCGACTGTGTAGAGGGCCTTCACCGACAGGTAGTAATAATCCTGGAGCAGGGCACACGACATGCAGGGCTCTGCTTGGGACCAGGCGCTGCCCCTAGGACCCACACCCAGTGCCCCAGACCATGCCCTGCCCACATGTAGGCCCAGCATCTCCCCCCCTCTCTGCCATCACTCCACTCTTGACTTGAATGCCTGCTCCTCTCTGTTCAGAATGTATTGAAGGCAAGGGCTCTAATGAATCAGAACAGAATGCAGTCCTAGCCTGAAGGAGGGTCAAAGAAGTTCCCTGCTGGGCCCAGTTGTTGGGCTATCTAGAAGACAATGTCCTGAAAAGGTAGCGGGGGGGGGGGGGGGGGGGGGCTTGTTGGGGGGGGGGAGCCGACGGGGGGGGGGGGGGGGGGGGGGTGTGAGAGCTTGTTGGGGGACAGAACCCAACAGGGTAAATGAACATCCTACCCTCCATGTTTCAGGCTCAGTATACAGCAAGTGCTCATGAGTGCTGCCCAGAGCCTTGAGCTCCTCAGAACTAACCCACCGCCCTTCTTACCTGATCCCCAGACTCAGGCTCATAGTCATCAAACCCACAAGCATCGAAGTAATGGGGGAAAGGCTCTGACCAGCCATCCTCTGTGCAGTTCCGGCCCACGACCCCCATGTCTGCAGAGAACAGAAAACTAGGCAAGGCATGCGAATGGCTTTAAATGACCCTGAAAAAGATTTCATGGTGGGAATTCCTGAAAAACCCTGTGTTCGACCCGGCCGCTTGAGCTAGAAAGTACAAGATTGAGTGATTGCTGAAGACCTGGCACTCATCTCTCACTAAGAACAAGGAATGGAGGAATGGGGAAGTGGGATGAATGAACAACCTGATCCCTTAGCCAAGAATCCAGAATGCCTGTATCCTCTCCTGTAATATCCCAATCACTCACCAGAAGAGGATCTGCAGCCTGCCCCAGGGCCCTAGATCAGCACTTCTCAAAATGTCGATGTGCAGAACAACCTAGAAACTTGCCACAAATGCTGCTCCTTAGCAACCCCATCCTCAGCCCCAACCCCAGGGACCCAAACAAGGCATCCAGTATGTCCAAAACCTCCTTGGGTGATTGTGGGATGAGAATTTGGCACATTTGAACTCGGAGCTCTGGCTCTACCAGCAGCTGTAACATCTCACACCAAAGGAGCACCTGGCCTTACTGCTTTTTAGCAATCCCAGGCCTGCTCTATCTACTGCCAGCCTTGCAGATTTACAAACTCAGTGGGTTGTTGCTGTTTGTTGCTTTGTTTTTGCCTTTCAGAGTTTTGTAGTCTGCCTCCTGGCATCAATGAGCATTCATTCTCTTTGGACTGACTTTAAGGCCTTTGTGTGAGATGCAGGAAAGACAGAGCAGTCACCGCTGCTGAAAGAGGCACTTGCTACCTGCAAAGCAGAGTGCAGGCCATTTTTCATGTAAGTGGGTTGCTTCAGCCTTGAATGGCATAATGTCATTCTCCTGAGCCAGTGAGACCCACTAAGGTTCCAGGGAGCATAAGGCACGTAGGCCTTTTCCTCTAGCTAGCACCAGAGTATGGCTCCAGAGAGTTGTCCCAAGCTGGCAGCCCAAGAGCTACTGGTCTCTTAGGACACATAGAAAGAAATAGGATTCGGAATAAGTTTAAGTCCCCAGAGACAGTTTAGAGGTGTTCAAATTTCAGTTGTGCGCCCCAAGTCACCTTGTGGGCTTGGTAGAGTGCAGATTCTGGGACCTCATCCTGGAGTCTGTGATACAGTCAGTATATGGGTTTCAGGGGCGAGTGACTAGGGTATGGTAAGAGACCCCTGTGAATAGGGAGTTTGGAGGACACACCGCTGGTCAAGGTGGCCTCTAGGAAGCTCAACATGGAAGCAATGGGTCAGTCAGTGCGGGATAGAAGGGAGAGGGAAAGACCCTCATTTTTTGAGACATGGTTTTTCTGTGTAATCCTGGCTGTCCGGGAACTTACTCCGTAGATAAGGCTGGCCTCAAATTCAGAGATCCGCCTCAGAAGTGCTGCCATTAAAGGTATGCGCCACCATTGCCTCTCTATCCCCTCACTTTTCTAAACAGCACCCTACTCTTGCTGGTGGACTTGGAAGGTGTAAGGCCAATAACCCTCAGCCTGCAGAGGTAGACATACCCTCCCTGGGACTGGGAGGAATGGTAGAGCAGGGACCCTGCCCAGAACAGTCTGCCCAGAATTGGAGAGTCTCCACAGCTTCTCTTACACCTGTGACACAAGCCAAGAAGGTGTCCAGCAGGCCGGGGGAGGAAGGGGGGCCACAATCAGCAGTTCTACCAGGCTGACTCCTCTTCAGAAAAGCATGTCTCAGGCTGCTGCTGGCAACCTCCCTCCAAGGCCACTGAACAGCTCAGGAAACCTGAGTGCCTCCCCCCGTTTCTGCTGGGAGCCAGAGTGGCTTGGCCCTGGGCTTTGGTTAACTCTGCCTTGCCCACTTCACAGAGGTAAGAAGAAGAAAGGGACAAAATGAGCACAGAAATTTGAAAATCAATTAAAAAAAAAAAAAAAAGCTTCCTAGAAGGAAAAGCCATTTCCTTTCTTTTATTTTTCCTCTTTATTTTAATAACACAATGTAGGCTCAGAAAAAAAACATAAATGTTTTTGTTCCAAAAATTGCTCTATGAATATTGTTCTGGTAGAAATCTCCGGAAGACGGAGCACTCTCCAGATTGTCAAAACCTTGCAGTGACAGCATCTCTTTCACCAGACTGTCTTGCTCCAGCAATGTCATAGGAGCACAGCCCCACCCTGATAGATCCCCACCATATCACCCGATTATGGTGGTCATTAATCTGGTCCTGATTCAGCTGGCTAAATCAGAGACTCGGGTGAAATGCTGGAAACTGCACCATGCCCCCCGTACACACTGCCTTTTGCAGCTCCAGGCCCGCCAGGGCTCTGGCTGTAGGGCTGTGATGGTGCACTGCTTGACCCCATCCAAGTGACCAGAGCACAAAACTCAAGTTTGAGAACCTCTGTGGGCAGAGAAGACCTTGTAATCCAGAGGCTCCCCACTTACAATCCACGACGGGCTTCAAGATGCCCACGGTTCCCCACAGCACATGATTCCCTGTGTGATGGATGTGCCATGTTCTCTCTGAGGACTTAGGTTCCATCTTCCAAGGGGACAACACAAAGCTCCATCAGAGAAGCCACACACTCAAGACTACAGTTCAGAACATCTGAGTCTCTCCCCTTATCTCAGAAAAATGGACAGAGGATGAACTCCAGCTACAAAGCAGCCTCGGAACTCCCAAAGCAGCTGCCCTCCACCCACCAACCTGAGGTGGATCCGGCTCACCCCTTACCAGTGATTTCCAAGGAATTACTATCGGCAAAACCAGAATCCCCTGCAAAACACAAACATGAGTCAGAATGCTGTGTTTATCAAATGGCCCCACCCACCAAGGCTAAGGCTGCCTAGTCTACTAGGAGTGGAAATGGGATCAAGAGCCTGAACCTCCACAGCTGCACATCCCTCTGGCATGCTGCCTCTTGAAGCACCAGTCACCAGGGCAGCAGCTGCACAGGGCTATGATGCTCAGAGGGGTGTGTGGCTTGGTCCCCACCAGAGAGCCTTTGGGGTGGGAGGAAAGGGGGTAAATAATCCTGGGCCTTGCAGTTTCTTTTTTGATGTTAAACCTCCATCTCAGCTCCAAGTCTGTTTTTCATCAAAGGCCAAAATGTTTACCTGCAGACAGTTCTCTTCCCCATCCTATAAGCTTTATTCTCATAATTATCTAAAGACAGCCTAGAAGTTAACTCCATTTCCTTTCACCTCTTCAAAATCCCATCTCTAAACTGAAGTGCCACCTTGTTCAGGAAGCCTGTCTTAACCTCTAACCTGTCCTCCCTGCATAATCTGTCTCCCCGCTGCTGGGATCGCAGTGACTGCATGAACTCACAAACGGCCAGCCTGCATGTAAGAGCACACATGCACTCTGCACACACAGTGTTCTCCATTCCCTCCATTGGTGATTCAAACACCTGACCCAGCTTGAAAGGGCCTTGAAGCCAACCACTGTGCCCTCCATCTGTCCCAGCCTCCAGGATGGCCAGATTCTGGGAGGAGGAAAGAAGCCAATCCCTGATGGTCCTGCCATCCTTGCTACCCAATCTGACCATCAATCCAGCAGCCAGGGGCATTGGATTTTCTAAGGCAGGGCTCCTGATGGGCAGATGAAACTCTGTCTGTTCTCCCAGGGATCCTCTTACCTATGGTTTCTGTCATCCAGACTGTATGTAGAGGAAGAGAGAAAGAGAGAGAACATGAATAGAAATGCAGACATGAGCAGGGCTGAATCAGGTCTGCCTTCACAGGTCACTGGCTCTCCACCCTTAACTCTGAGAAAGCTCTGCTAGGGTCCTGGAGGCCTGGGGATCCCATGCTAGGACCTAACAATCTTGGAGAAGGCATCTAACTCCACATGAGGAGGAAGTAGAGGCTTTGGCCAGGGCTCCCACAAAGCCAGCACCTTAGGAAGGCCTATGCAACATCATTGTCACTGAGCTCCTTGGAAATGAGAAAGCAAAAGAGAGACTGCAGTTCAGTCTCTTCTATGGGGAGGGTAAGTCTCACTCCCAGCCTGTGAACAGAGGTGCTAAAGGCCCTGCTTTAATGAACCATTAAGAGCCAGGTGTAAATAACATTTCCTGCACCCTGAGGCGGGTGCAGCTCAGGGAGATCATTTTACCCTCATTCTTGTCACCTCTTGTGGCTGCTGTAGGAAAAAAAGGTTTCGTGGCTGCAATCTTGCCTAGAGAGAATGTGCTACACGCTTCAAATAACTAGCTGAAGTAAAGCAAGGGGTACATGGAGGAAGTGGTTATGCTGCCTTCCCCGGGAATAAATCTTCGGAGTCAGCTGTATCCTGGGCCCTGTTCCTGACAACTTACATCTTCCCTCTATTCACTCTGTCTCTGCCTAGTGTCTCCTCCCGAACTTGCCTTCTGGCCTGATCTGGGTCACACCTAGTCTCAGAGTCCTTGGCATGCGGACATCCAGAAACCAGCCTCTTCCTAGCTAGCAGAAGATGGGCAAGATGTGGGACAAAGAGAGGTGGGGTATATAGACAAACCCTTCCTTCTCTGGGCTCTGGATGGAAAGTCAAAAACGGATGTTTGGGACCCCAATACATACCACTCTTTCTCCCCTCCTGCAAGCCAGGATGGAGACAAATTATTGGCTGTGGCTACATGGAGCAACACATGCTCCATGAAGTCAGGCCCCCTGGGATCTTGTCTTCAGGCAAAGTATTGCTTTGCTCCCAGACTCATATTTCTATATCCAACAACACAGCTAGGTCACTGCACCCATTACACAGGATCCCAGTTAGTTTCCAGGATCTCCACACAGCATTTCAGTGGTAACAGAGACCACGAACAGACACGGCATGTGAGCGCCATGGAAGCTTCTACTCAGCTTTGCTTTTCTGGCACAAGCCACCACACACATAACCCTGAAGCCTATGTGTACACACCATTGACTTTCCTTGGTGCTCAAGGCCCTCTCCTAGACAGCCAGGGTTGGGAGAGCAGGAGTCCAACTCCTCCTCCTTCTCCTCCTTCAAATTGTCACAGCCCGTCTGAAGGCACCAGGGACCAAGGGCATGCTTTGCTTAGAAAATGTGTGTGCTGGTGAGCTGAAGACTGGCTAGTGGGTTGGAGGGTCGGGCACTGCCCACATCATGCAGTTGAAGAATGTGGTCATAGTGTCTCTTCACAGCAGTAGAGACCCTAAGGAAGATGGGTGTTTGATCATACAGCCCATCCATATGTTTCTCCAGGCCTCCGAGACATCTCTGTGGCTAGGTCATCATCTTGGTGACTATGATGATTTATTTCAGCTAACTTTACTACTGAGTATGAAAAATTCGCCTGGTGCTGTGCTACATACCATCTCTATAGTTGACCTCCCTTTATCCTCACAGAGTGCCCTAGGAGATAGCCACTGTGTCACATTGCCATCTGGAAGAGCAAAAACTTGAGGGACAATCTGGCTTACTGATGGTCCCTAACGGAGTAAGCAGTAGAGTTGCTGTGGCCTCTGTGCCCAAGCCCAGATTGTTGTGAATTCTGGAGAAGAAGTGTTTCCATGCCCTATACCAGCATGAAGAACACCATCCAATCCTGTCTGCCATCAGCCATCTGCCCATCTGAAGTTGGGCTCCAGGTAGGGGTGTGGCTGTGTGGATTGCAAATTAAACCAACAGAACTGGAAAGATTCTGGTCTCTACTTACCTTGGTCCGGGTTGAAGATCCGGAAGACCTCAGGGCAGCTCACAAGGACTGTCTCACCTATTTGAGCAGGCTTCCAACATGTGATATTGTCCCACATGCCAGGGCAACCTGGAGGAGAGAACCATGGTGAGAGTGTGCCTGGCCATATGCACACCACATACACACAAGTATATACACTCCATAACCAGACATAACACATCAGATACATCCCACATATACAGATGCACACAGGCACAACACGCGTACTATAGATGTGCGTACACACATGGCCCTCTGCAATGGTTAATTTGCAATATTAACCTGGCTTGATTTAGAATCACCCAGGAGACAGTGAGCCATTCCTCTAGAGAAAGTGAAAGCATCCCCAGGGAGGATTAACTGAGGAGGAAAGATTCACCCTGAGTGTGTGTGGTACCACCCGTGGGTGGGCAGGCGTCTTGGGCAAAATAAAAGGAGGAAAGGAGAAAGCTAATGGGATGTTGGCATTTCCCATTGCTTTGCTTCTTAGGCACTAGAATGTGAGCTGAGCGGCTCTACTGTGTCTTCCTGCCCATAAACAAAGCCCATGAAACTATGCGCTAAGAGAAATCTCTCTTCCCTTAAGTTATTTCTATTAGGTATTGTGGTTAGGTGATAACAACGGTAACAGCCATTACGCAGGTACCACACACACACACACACACACACACACATACACACACACATTTTTCACAGCCACACACCATACACAGATAGCTTACACACACACACACACACACACACACACACACATTTTTTACAGCCACACACCATACACAGATAGCTTATACACACATACACACCTTGCATGCACTGCTCAGAAGTTGGCCCTTGCAGGGGGCAAACAGTTTACAAGCAGAGAAGATGAGTCTTCCTGTGTGAGGAAGGTTTGCTTGTTCCTGCACCTGCAAAAGCACCCTCAGAGTAGTCCAAAAAAGCAAGTGTAAGAACTCCAGGGCAGGAGACTCTCCTCTCCATGCCCCAGCTCAGCTGTGCCTGCCAGACACCTGCATTCTCCTAGCCTCACCACCATTGTAGGGCCTGGCCTCCTATTCACCTCCTTAATGTGGCTCACATCTCCAAGAAGGTGGGGTTGAGGTTGGATCAGCTGACTAAGGCTGCACCCCACATCCCAGCACATGCCTTGAGCAAGGAGCTGCCACCCGCAAAGCTGGCACCTGAAGTGAGGTCACAGCTTCCCCAGCTGAGAAGATGGAAAGTATCCAGACAGAAGCTTGGAAGGGACTGTGGAAAGACTTGGAACAGAAAGTGGTGATAGAGGCAGAGTCCTTGAGGAGGCCAAGGTCAAAGCCTTATTGTGGGGAATCAGCTGGCAGAAGAGAAGAGACAGTCACACAGTGAGGGAGTTAGGGATCACCAAGTCTCCCTGGGGTGAGCAGTAAGGAGGAAGAGCGTCAGGCTTGACTAGTTCTGATTAGGTTTGGGGCTCCTGGAACCCTGTCCTCTACACACACACTCTCTCTCTTCCTGCCACCATCTCTCTACCCCTCCTCTTCACTGCAGCAACACTCATCAAGGTCAACATCGCCCTCTTTGCTGCCAAATCTGAAGAACAATCTCAACTCCAGCCGGGCTGTACTCTGCCCACCTGATTGGCTACAGATTCTGGAAGTCATCTTGTCTCGGGCTACCTGCCCACCCACCCTAGATGAGCTCACTCTGCCCAGAGACTTAACGGAATTACATGTAGATATTTCTAGTCTTTGGCCTCCAGCCACATTTTTGGGCTGACCCAAGGTCAGTTACATGCTGCATGTTCCCGCTTTGAGAGGCCAAAGACTAGTCAAATGCAGGAGTTCTGGACTCGATACAGACCGTCCTACTAAAGCCACATGTGTTTTCAGCCAGCTAGATACCCGAGTGTCACTCCATCCCCACAGCAGCAAGTCCTGCTTGATTCCCTCCAGATACCAACGGAACCCATTAGCCTTCGCTGGCACCACAGTGACAGCCTCCTCCTAGATCTCCTTCGGCTAGGAGTAACATCTTTTCAAAATACCCTGGTGACTCCCCACCATCAACAATGAAAATCTCTGTTCTTCACACCGTAATTCATGAGAATGAAGCCCGTTGTCCCTGTCCCTACCTGGCCTGCCAGGCTTACTCTCCCTTGAGCATATGAGTGGTGAGACATGCCTTTTTGGTTGTGAGCCTAGCCTTTAATGGATGAGCCATCTCATGAGTCATGTCTCCCAAGGAAGGGATGTGAGAAAAGGAGAGCAAGGAGGAGGGAGCCCCAGGACACCACACTTAGGAGTCAACAAAGGAAGCACGAGTTGTGACACAGTGGAGAGTGGGACAGGCAGAGGTTCAGAAGCATAGGCAGCCAGAGAGCAGCAGCAAGCTCCACGAAGAAAGACCTGACCTATAGGGGTCTACAGACGGGGGAACTTCAGTGTCCCACAAGGGAAGTGAGTGACTGCCCATGTACTACCCCCCCGGGGGGGGAGTTAGGAACACTAATGCATTGCTACACAGAAGGTTCTGTGGAGAGCACAACACTTACTCCATGCGTGTTGGAGTTGTCACTGATCTTAATTTCATTATTTCAACTAGATGTTCCTGGGACACTCATTAGGAAAAATAGAAGCTCAATGGCCAGCTACCTGTGAGCTCGGAGGAAACCAGAGCAGACAGAGCAGTGGCCTGGGGGTAGACTTCAATGTCAGTGTGGTTCCTCTGTCAAAGTCATGACTTCTACCAGCAGAAGACATTCTCAGCTCCTAGATCTCTCAGGATTTAGATTTTGCTACTTTACCATTCACGCTAGTGACACTGGCCTGTGGCATGCTGCTCATACAATGATACCTCTAGGAGTTAGGGAAAATGTTAAAGCTTTGTATGCTGAGTCCAAGTGGACAGGAACTCTGAGGGCCAGATGAGGAAGCCACCTGTCTCTATGAGCCACTATCAATGATTCCTGTCTACCTAGCATGTCTTGCCAGCACAGCACGCTTGGCTGTGACACCATGTCCTTGAAAGAGAACCAACAGTACATCTTTGGCTGCCATGGCCTGTGCTGACTGTGAAATGCCCATGGAGTGTGACCATGTCTGGCCCATATCCAGAAGCTCTGGCCAGCAGATGTTCCTGTAATGTGGAACATTAGGCTCTGGCACAACCAGCTGCTCTTCCACTGACAATGGTAGGGTCAGAAGGCTACACAGAAGGCATAGATATAAGGGCTGAGGGGCAGGGAGTGGCAGCAGCCAGGATCCAGAGCTGGGGATCAGAGGTGGAGGCAGGGTAAGCAATGCCTGCACTTAAATGAAAGTTTTCTGATTGGCTTCCCTGCGCCATAGATACATGAAGCTACAAGAAGAAAAAGATGGAGAAAGGGCAGGGCCTCCCTTCTGAACCTGCCTAAAAGAGACCAGAATTAGGTTGGCGTCTCCTCTGCTATGTTTCACAGGTTCATGTCAGAGTAGAGGTGGATGTCTGTCAGTACCCCAACTTTGATTGGCCAGAGGTGAAATCTGGAACAGAAGGTTCACAGGTATTGCTCGTGCCTTGGGGACAGCAAGAGCCACTGGAACTACTTTTTGACACATCTGCCAAGTTCCTTGCCTGGGATTCCCAACGGTCTACCTGTCACAAGTCTAGAAACTCTCCCAGTCCTTCATTTTGTCCTCTCACAAGGCCAGGATAGGAAGAAAGACCAGAACAAGATCCCCAAAGGATCCCAGGAACCATAAAGACCACCACTTACAAAGGCTGACCACCTTGACTTAGGGCAGGAGGTGGGTTCCAAGTGGGCCGTGAGGTTTTCTGGCAGAGGACAGAAACATATGTCCCCACCATGCACATGGAACACATGCAGTTTCCAAGCTCAGCGCAGTTAATTTTGAGGGCAACAGAAGTCTTCACAGTAACCTTTGCTCCTGCGCTCTTCTCTTGCTTTTCTCCCCCTCTCTACCCTTTCTACTTTTCTTTCTCATCTGCTCATTAATTCAAAAGAGATTCTGTGGAGATATATGAGTCCAGCAGTGGAGAGTGAAGCAAAAGCAGCCAAGTCTGGGCCTCATGGATCTTACAATGATTTGGAATGCTATGCTGAGTGAGTGATATGTAAGTTTCCTACTGGGGCTGGAGGTTTATAAGGCAACTCAGTGTCTTCTGGTAGCCCAAGTTGCTATTATACCATCCAGGAAGTCAGAGGCCTAAAATCAGTCTCACCTAGCTAAAATTGTGCATCAGCAAACTGCTAGAGGCTTGAGGGGAGGTGCCTTTCCAGAACAATCCCAAGTTCAAGTGGTCACCACTGCTTTTTGGCTTATGGCCTCTTCCCCCAGCTTCAAAATTAGCAGCTTGGCATTCTAAGCCTCCTCAGCAATCCTGTCTTCCCTCACTTTTAAGGACTCTTATTGACTCTCACACAGCATTCATCCAAGCAACCCAAGAGGCTCTCCCAATCACGAGAACACAAGCAAAGACCCTCTGTCAGGCAAGGACACATATTTGCAGTTTGAGGAGGCTGAGGGGTGAGCATATCTCTCCAGATGGTAGCCGAAGACTGTCACTGTGCTGACCTCTGGATTTTAAAGTTAGCTTGTAACTGCAGCATCTTCTATGTTATACTGACTGGCACATAAGGGCAATAAGAAAGTACCACTGATGGATGTCATTCATGCTTCTGACTTGGGTGCCTGTATGGATGGGTGAAGATATAAACGGATGGGAAGATAGACTGCTACACAGATGGACAGATGGATAAATGTTTGAATGTATAGATGGGTAGATGAATAGGTGGACTATGGGTGGGTAGGTGGTAAGTGAAAAGGTAGATGGATAGACTATCAACATAAAGGGACTAGTTGGGAGTCCAATGGTGAGAGCATGAGACAAGTTGAAATCCATGTTTGGTCTCACATATGCTGGATTTAAGATAGAAGTAAGAGCCAAAATTAAACCAGACAAGAATGGGTGAGGTGGTCAGCGTAGCTAGATGATTGCCCAGGGAGAAAGTGAGTTCACAGAACATTCAAGAATTCCAAAGTTTAGAAGTAGAGCTGGCAAAGAAGGCTGCAGAGGAAAAGCAGGACAAGACAGTAACACAGCAGCCAGGAACA